TCAGGGCATTACATTTTCCTCCCCCATGCACCTCTATAGATGAAGAGTTTCACCTGCAGCGAGGGTTTACATTGATTAGGGAGGGAACAGTAATTCAAGCCTCCATCCACTTCAGTGATACTTTGCCGGCGTTAAAGGTGCTGACCCATTGAGTTAAACTGTCATGGGAGGATAAAAAAGGAGCTTCATCCCAGGAGGTAACAGCTGCCAGGTTTTCAACACCTTGCGCGCTGCTGGAGAAATGTCACAAATTGTCAATGGAAAGAAAAATCACTTGGCTGCCATCTTCTCTTAATGACGAGCCTGATAAAATGAAGGATTTAAACCTTTTAAGATCAGCAAGTAGTTGTCAGAAAAATAAATAAATAAACCCAGGGGGATTTTGAACAATGGCACGGAAAAGCCCTACCCAGAGAGGCAGCAAACAAGTTAGAATAACCTGCTGTGGTTGGGATGGGCATATGGTTATCTTTGCACAGTTGGACAAGAGGGAATGAAAGTAGCAGCCACACAGAAGTCCAACATTAGTTTGTCAGTATTTTTAAAAAAAAAATCCTGATTCATAAGCCAGTGAACGGAGAGAAGATGTACTGTATCTCTGCTCTTTTGAGGACAATTTGTTTTCAAACAGCTACCAGATGGCTAAATACCACGACATTTCTTTTCTTTTTCACAAGACATCCCGTTTTCCTTGCTCTTTGTTTTTGTTTTTGTTTAAATGCTTTTACTCCGTTGAATAGCCCTGTGGTGCTTGGACATTGTGACATACCCTTTTTTCCTACTTTGATAGATGAGGAAAACAGTCTAAGATTTAATGAAGATTCTGAGAACAGGCAGGGTGGGGTTTATTTATTTATTTGCTGTTTGTTATGGGTTAGTCATTTTAATTGTAGTGAGTAATTAGAAGGTACATGCAGCCACAGGAGCTTTGTTATGGTAATTGCTCAAGAAAACCCATTCCCTGTCTACCATGTGTTGAGACACTTCTTCCCTCTAGCGGCAATATTAAGGACTCTGGCTTTGCACTAGGCAAGGTGTAATTGCAATATGACAAACTACGCTTTAGGGACCGTCTTGCAAATGTTCTAGTTTTTTGTTTGGCTATCCTATATTTTGTATTATGACTTCCCACAGAGACCCCCCTCCTCCAGCACAGTGGGCTTTTGATAGCAAAAATGTAGTCTTAAAGGTGCTTTAAAAAAAAAAAAACTCCACAATGGATTCTGGGTAATGTTTTGCAGCTTGACTTAATTTTAGTCTTCTGTTTCTTTAATTACCTATTTATAAAAATGCATTTAAATTTGTAGACATTATTTAATACTTTCAGGAGGAGCACCTCATTTGAAATAAATAAATAAATTTGCGTTTATTTTAGATAGTCCATGTGAAAGACCTTAAGGATAATTAATGCAGGTCTCCGAAGACCCTGTAAGTGAGATGAAACTGATCTTTCCAAATCTTCTGGAGTGATTTGTTTATATAACTTCCCACTTCTGCTGAATCCTTCAGAGTCTAATAACTTTTTTTTAACTGTTTGGCAATTTGTGCTTAGCTACAAAAGCCCTTGTTTGAAAAAGAGGCAGTTTAATAATCTGCGCTCTGAAAATGACTTGGAGGAAGGCTCTGGGTTTTGTCTTTTTGGTGTGTTTTTATTAGTGTTAGCTTTCTCTGATAAATCATGTAATTATTAACTATTGAAAAAAATCTTATTGAACTTCTGAGTTGTAGTGTCTATTACAAAGTGGAGTTTCATTCGGAGACTGGGGATTCTCTGGCTAAATGGCCAAAGAAATGACTTTTCTACTGGTTGAGATCCTTATGAACACAATTCCACTTTGCGCTCAGTACTTCGATCTGGCATTCCTTGCTCATCCAAACCTCCATTGACATCTGCACTCCTCTACGCTGGGGTCATGCTCTCTTTTTAAAAAGGCAGACGTCTCAGACCCAGTCACGTAAGCATTAGAAAAATCTAATCTAAGAGACTCATGGAGTGCGATTAGATATGTTTAGTGAACTATGGTCTAGCATCTGTGTGGCATTTTAAGCCCTTGGCTAAGAATGAATGCAGCTCTGTGGTTCCCCTATTCTGCACCACATTCCTGCTCCTGCCATGATTTGATGCTGCCATATATTTGTAGACTTTTTTTTCATTAGAGCTTGTTTTGCTATAGGGCTGCTTAACGTTCTTCTCGAGCGGCGTTTGCAAGGTTAAAGGAATGCAGCTTGGTAACACGTTTGTGTCATTTTAAATATATACCTCCTAGTAAATAAGGAGGAGTCTGGCAATCAATCCCTTTTAGTGTGTTATATGTTTCACCTGACAACTAAACCCTCTATTGATTAGCCATTACTTTGTTAGATAATCCCATGTCAGTGAAGCCACTGTAAAAATTAAACTCTTTAAAATGTTTTACCCTAGCAGCAGTGTGAAAATTGAAAACTTGTTCAGAATTACAGCCGGCTTTCACGAAGAGAGTAGCTTTCAGCAAGCTGGTTTATGTTTGCATGCTTTATATGCAATATAAAAACATATTAAAGCACTCCAACGCAAAGCTATATGCCTCTGGCATAGAACCAGGCTACCGTTTCCAAGTGCTCCCTATGCAAAGAAACCTCTTCTCATGACTCAAAGTGAGGGGAGACTTGAACAGGTTCTTACTAGGGTCCAATTTTAAAAGTGAGCTGAAAAGGTTTTTATCTTTCAAGACCCGGGTTCAGGGTTTTGTTTCTCCTGGAACAGTAGCTGATCGCCCAGGCACCTCAAACAGTGAAGAGAGCTGTAATACCAGAGTCCCTCAACTTCAGATGTCATAGAATCATAGAGAATCATAGAAGATTAGGGTTGGAAGAGACCTCAGGAGGTCATCTAGTCCAACTCTCTGCTCAAAGCAGGACGAACCCCAACTAAATCATCCCAGCCAGGGCTCTGTCAAGCCGGGCCTTAAAAACCTCTAAGGATGGAGATTCCACCACCTCCCTAGGTAACCCATTCCTAGGTCATCATGTGTTTCAGTTGAAACATAGAGCTCTGAACTTGGGCATGGGCAAATAAGTGAAGGGAGAATGAATGTCATTCAGTGTCATAAACTGTCAAAGTAAGTGCGTGCATTGCTAGTGATTCAGTGTCTTAAACTTTTTGTGTTGATTTAAAAGAATACATAGATCACTCTTAAAGTTTTAGCGTGAGACCTTGTTGAGTATGCTGCCAAGCATGTATATACCTTCTCCAGGGTGCAGTATGTTTGTTCATTACACAAGTTGAATGCATTTCCACATCCTTAACAAAGAAGTTATATACTCACTCCTTGAAGTTTCATTTTCTTTCTCATCTTTTGTGGAAAGGTGAGGAATTATATGGCTGTTTTATAATTTAGCACTTACATAGAGCTTGATGCTGTCAAGGTGCTGTGAAAATGGCCTGTGAGGTATGTAGTACTATCCCCATTTTATAAATGGGGAAGCTGAGATTCAGAGAAATTGGATGACTTGTCCAAGGCCACAGGGAGTCATTGGGACTAGAAACTCTCGAGTGTCCCTGTCCCTTGTATGTGAATAAAAATAATGGGAGTTGTGCAATGCTTTGGAATAAGTGTCTTTATTTAGACACTGCCGTGCTCACTAATGGTTCTGTGTGGTGATGATAGAGGTCACCCTTCCTGCTGAGCCAGTTCTAGTTTTTAGATTCTGCTCCATGGACTCAAAATGGAACGTTGCTGATTTTGTATTCAAACAATCAGTTCTTTCCCATCCCCATAGTTATTAATGTGGTTATTGGGTAGAATATTATTCTAAGGCTGACTTCTGAAAAGTAGGCTCGTTCAGCAGGCTTGGAAGAGAGATGATTGAACCAGGACTCAAGAGCTGGGTTCAAATCCTGGTTCTGCCACAGACTTCCTTTGGACCTGGGCAAATTACTTAATCTCTCTCTCTCTAATTCCTTTTTTTTAATTATTGTTGTCTATTTAGATTGGATCAGGGACTGTCTTTTAATATGTACCCATTCTGTCATGTATTCCTATACATAATAATGGATTTGTAAATTGGGGGGAAATCAGAGTGAGGAGATGTAAGTATAAAACACTGCAAATGCAAGATGCAACAGAAAATAGTGAAAAACCAGGTGAGTAAAAAAAAAGCTCATTCATGAATGATGGGGAAGCAAAGCGTCTATATGTCTCTTTTTTTTCCCTCTCCCTCTCTAAAGTTTTGGGCTGAATTTAGTGAATGTTGATGCTTTTAAAATGAGGTTCAGATAACACTGGCTGGAACAATGCATAGAGCAAGAAAATGCTGTCCAAATTTCCTCATGACAGTTAGGTCAGTGCATCTAAATCATGATTTATAATGTGTTTATTCATCCTGATCTCTCTCCTGAGTGGGAAGTGCTAAACATGCCAAAGTGGTGGTTTTATGGTGTGGGCAAATGTCTGCAAGGACTAGTCTGAGGCCATCAAATGCCTGTTTGCCTGTGACTTTGTCCCAGTTTGAATCTAGACATCCCATCCTATCTCCCCCACTGCTGAAAGACCTAGTGTGTTAGTCCACATAGCACAGAGCCATTTGGAAGGATTCGTGTTTTGTTTTGTTTTGTTTTTCAATTTCTCCTTCTTGCTGACTTCTGTCCATATGCTAACCCCAGCCACTCTCAACAGATATTGGTGTTCTGACTTGTAAGGAGAGCGGGGTGAACCAGGCGATGCTGCATTCCTTTACTTTAAGCTTCTACTGTACTTAAAAAATAAAAATATATTCAGGCAGGATTGGGGGGGGGATGTTTTGGTCCCCTCCCCCCCTCCCCCATCCTGCATAGATTTATTTTATTGACTAGTTTGAGTGGGATTCGAAACTTCATTTTGCCCTGTTTTCCTCTTTATTTAGGAAAGAGAAGTGATTCCGAAATGTAGTAGAATGGCTTCACAGAGTATCTTGCACCAAATATCTGATGCCTTACAGCAAATTGCGTGCCTCTATTCAGAATTTTTTAAATCTTTCCACAGACCTACAACAGCTGTGCCAGACTGTGCTTAAACCAAGAAACAGTATGTCTAGCGAGCACTGCTATGAAGACTGAAAATTGTGTGGCCAAAGTAAGTATTGTTGTAGTTCTTTTATCTTTGTATCACGTTTGTGAGCAATACGTTTGTTTTTCAAAAACTAACTTTTAACATACTTTAAACAGAAACAAGTAGTTTGCTCAGGCCTTCTATCTTTCACAATCGTACTATAGGCTGACCAGGCAGTGTGCCGCATTCACCAGACTGTGATAAATGGGGATATGGGTCCCCAGCCACCCAGATCAACAGGCTGGATGTCCTGTGGAAGCAGTAACTGTTCCCATTGTGTCGTTGTCTCCAGTACCCTCTGCTGGTCAATACCCAGAGTTACATGAACATATGTTGGATGGAGGCTCTTTGCAACATGGGGCCTTTTGTTGATCGGTGAAGAGGAAATACAGAAAGAACATTGAAGGAAAAACCTTGTAATTAAAAGAACAAACCTAACACAATATTTGGAGGGAAGGGGAAAAGAGAAAATCGGAAGAAAAAGTGACTCTGTTCATTTTCATATCACTACGTCAGATAAGATACGTTTGTAGGGCAATATAATAACGGGAGAGGGGGGAGAGGTGAAATGTCAGTAACCACCCGCCTCTCGTTTTGCTTTTCCTAAAGCTAAGATATATATATATATATGCGGGATTGTCAGTGAGCAGAAAACATCCCAGCCATGACACTGTATGTATAAAAAGGGCTGTGTAAAGGATCTGTTCAGCCTCGCATAAGCTCTGGAAAGAAGTTCGGTGGGCATGCAAGACAGATCAGAGCATCTGTTACTGAAACCAGCTGGCATTTTGTTGTTGTTCTGTCACTATAAAGTGACCAGTAGAAAGCTTGCCCCCTTTTCTGACTTATTCCTTGAATCTTCTTGAGATTCCCTTTTCTTGGAGTTAATTTTGAATGGCTGTTAAATCTGCCCTGTCCATTCAGAACCCACATTTCTGCTGGCCTTTGAAGGTGCTTCTGTCGCTGTGGGAAGATGGCTGTTCCATTGCACAAATGTCGGCTTCATGTTGCACACGAGTGACCCAAAGAGCAGCTTGCAGTCACTGTCTGTTAGAGAGGTGCAGCCTTGTGCAAGCTACAGATCCCAGCATGAAGTACAGCTGCTTGGCCCTTGCTGTCCAATGACCCTCTTTGATCAAGACGTACAGTATTGCATGCTGCCACCTGCAGTCATGCCCGTTGTTATACAAAATGGGTGAAATGCTCCTGACAAGATACCAAGGTACACGATTTGCAGCCCTCAGCAAAATGCCCTTGGTATTTAGCATATTTCATCCTGGGGTCATGATGCGGGTCACAAGCATCATACAAATGAGCCAGTGTACAGCTATTACCAAGATAGTCTCAGGCTTCCATTCAGGGCCCACCTACCATGCAACAGCTCCTTTTGACCTGAGCATCTTGGTTTTGAGGAGGGTGTGTGGTAGAATTATAACTATTAACTTCATTTGTGCCCCCTCTGAATTGAAATTGCCCCTTCAAAATGATAGGGACAAAAATGAAATCACTCCTTACAAAAATATTTGTAGTGGGCTGCTGACAAGCAACAAAAAGAGAGTGCCAGAGGCTGCAAGACTCATTTTATGTTGTAGAGGTGGAGCCTGAATTCTGGCCCCAGACACGGAAAAGCATGTGTTCTTAATACTGCCTATCCAGGATATATGTACCCTAGAGATGGAGTATTTATATATATTTTGCATTGGTTTTGCATTAGCTTAACAGGGGCTTCTTTGAGCACGTTTCCCTACTACATAGGGGAAGTTGCTTTCCCTTAGTAGTAGTTTCTGTTACGAACAGGTTACTGATGCTGTTGTTTTGTGGTTACAATACAAAGTGAAATAGAAGTTGGCTTTCTCAGAACCGCTTACGCTCCAGGTGTAGCAAAGCACTTTATAAATTCCCTGACCAAAAAACCCAAAAAACTTCATTCATGCAGAGTTAAGGTTGTCTGGTGGTATCTTGCAGCTTTCCAGAATGTCAAGTTCAGTTAAACTCAAAACTGTGAAAATTGGGTGGTAATACAGAGATAAGGCAGTTATAGTTCTCATTTAGAGTTTCATTTGACACATACTGTAGCTAGGTAATAACAAAAAAAAAGCTAGCATTTATATAGTACTTTTCATCAGTAGATCCCCATTTTAGAGGTGAGAAACTGAGGCACGGAAAGGTGAAGTGACTTGCCCAAGACCACTCAGGAGGCCAGTGGCAGAGCCAATAATAATCCTGATGGTTTCTCTGTTAGGCCATATAGTTGCTATGGGATTCCTGAGTGCTCTTCCACCCTCCTGCACATTTTGTTCGAGTGGAATGGAAATAATGGTCGTGCTTTGAAATACTTGCGCTGTGTGGCGACTGACAGGGCCAGGGAGAGAAATCTCCCTCATGGTCTGTGTCACAGAATCTTGTCCGTTTTATTACAGGGTTGCTACAGTAACTTTAAGCAGGAGAGAGAAGACAAGTGTCTCTCTCTCCTTGTCCACCCTCTGCCCCACCATCTCCTGCAACATGTAGCGACCCCACCAACATTTCCAGCTCCTGCTCGCCTTTTTGTCCCATTAGTTAGCACTCTAGAAGCCATTACAACCTGAGCAGTTGGTCCTTGCTGTCTCCTGCCTGGTGCTGCTGTGTACACACATCACAGGCAGCAACTTACTTGAGGGCTGTGCATTTCCTTGATTATGTTGCCGAGCCCGTGTTGCACATCAAGCCAGGCCCCTCACCCACACTATGCAACCCCAGCTGGACTTCCTGCCCGTGCTTCAGCCAGGTTTCATGGGCCACACCCTAGCTCCACCCAGTTCACCCACTTCCAAAGTGGTCCGCTCACATTCTGGCCAGCCACCCTCACTGACACACTCCACAGAGAGCTGCCGCACCTTAACGATTCATTTCCTGGGTTTCAGATGTTTACATTTATATTACCACCCCCCCCCCCCCAGCTCACATGGAGAAGGGCTCAGACACTTCAGGAGGGGCAGGTTCCCCCAAATCCCAGCACACACGGAAGGGGAGATTCAGGATTGGCAGGCTCCCACTTTAAACCCCCAACTTCCCTTGCCACCCCTCCCATTGTCCAATCCCTCCTGTTTTCTCCCCTCCTGCTCCCCCAATCCCACCCCTTTCCTGAGCTCCCAGCCACTTTTCCTTCCTCTACCACTCTATTGCATTTATCTCCCTCCCCAGAATACCCCCATCCCTCACTGCAGACCCTACCCCTATTCTCACCTACTCTTCCACCCCAATCACCCAGCCCCACCCAGTGAGCATTCACATGGAGAACATATTTTTGTACCAAAAAAACCTTGACAGAGGCTTGTTTTTCCCAAACATTAACAGTTCATTCTCTTCCTGCTCAGGGTGGGTTTCAGAGGTCAAAGTTGCTAGAATCTGCAAACATTATGAAATGCTGGGTTTTTTTTCGAGAGGTCAGCTGGGCCAAATTTGGGTCACTGACCTTACCCCACATTCCCACGAGACACACAAAATTTCAAGACAAGCCAGGCATGTGGATTTTAGAGCACTTGGAAGAGTCACTCTTTAAACAGAAAGGTCTTCTCAAACTTACCTGTAGCAGGGCTGGCACTCTGCTATATCGTATGAAATTAGTCATCTGCTATATCCAGATCACCCCCACAGGATAATACTGAAAGGATAGAAGGCTCTGGGAGGTGTGATAGTATCAACCCCATGGAGACCAATAAAGCCTGAAACAAATCACTCTGAGGTGTGCACTGCTCTGTTCATGTCAGTGGGTTGTGAGTTCAATCCTTGAGGGAGCCATTTAGGCATTTGGGGCAAAAATCTGTCTGGGGATTGATCCAGCTTTGAGCAGGCTGTTGGACTAGATGACCTCCTGAGGTCCCTTCCAACCCTGATATTCTATGATCCTCCCTCCCCAGTGCTTGAGAGATCTGTGATGTGCATCAAGCATGCCCGTTCTTAGCTCCTCACTGCAGTCTCAGCAGTGTGTGTTCTGGTTCATGCTTCCAGCTTGCCTGTTCTTGCCTTCCCCAAATGCTGACTCACATGGAGAAGGGCTCTGACCCCCTTTAGCACAACAAAGCTCCCCAAATCCCATGATGTGGGGCAGGCAGGGCGCTCAGACACCCCCCAGAGGGACAGGGCCCCATGGATCCTAGCTCATATGAAGAAGGGTATGGAGGGGCATACTACCATATAGAGGCAGGGCTTACTCCCAGATCCCAGCGCGCACACATGGGAAAGCAGGGAGAGAGGCAATGCGCCTGTATTCTAGCTCATATGCAGAGGCAAGGAGAGAGGATCAGACCCTCCTAGAGGGACAGGTGACCCCCACCAAATCCCACCACACACCTGAAAGTGGAGAGAGGCACTCAGACTCCACAAGAGAGGAAGGCCCCCTCCAGATCCTGGCACACATAGGAGGGGAGAATGTGGGTCTGACAGACACCTCTGCTCCTATTCTCCCCCAGTGCCTGTGCCACTCACATCCATGTGATATGGCCGTTAAAAAAGCTATGCGGTCTTGGGATGCATCAGGCGAGGTATTTCCAGTAAAAATAAGGAGGTGTTAGTACCGTTATACAAGGCACTGGTAAGACCTCATCTGGAAAATTGTGTACAGTTCTGGTCTCCCATGTTTAAGAAGGATGAATTCAAACTGGAACAGGTACAGAGAAGGGCTACTAGGATGATCCGAGGAATGGAAAACCTGTCTTATGAAAGGAGACTCAAAGAGCTTGGCTTGTTTAGCCTAACCAAAAGAAGGCTGAGGGGAGATATGATTGTTCTTTATAAATATATCAGAGAGATAAATATCAGGGAGGGAGAGGAATTATTTAAGCTCAGTACCAATGTGGACACAAGAACAAATGGATATAAACTGGACATTAGGAAGTTTAGACTTGAAATTAGACGAAGGTTTCTAACCATCAGAGGAGTGAAGTTCTGTAACAACCTTCCAAGGGGAGTAGTGGGGTCAAAAGACATATCTGGCTTCAAGACTAAGCTTGATAAGTTTATGGAGGGAATGGTATGATGGGATA